AGACCCCTGGCACAGACCATCGGTATAGACTTGAGCTCAGGCTGCTCTCTCTTGCATTCCTGACCTAACGTCATGTACAGACTTCCTCCTGTGCAAGATTCAAGCCACTGACTTACACCCTCTGCACTGGGCTAACTGCTGGCCCTCAGAAGATACGTGCGTGGCCTGACCCCTGGAACCTGCAAAGGTGACCTTATTTGGAAATGGGGTCTTTGAGGCTGTGATCAAGGTAAAAATCTCGAGAGGAAAACACCATCTGGGATTATTGGGTGGCCCTAATCCAACACGTGTTCTTACGAGACAGAAGAAGAGACACAGACCCACAGGGGAGAGGCGGCGGCTAAGCAGCCAGGACGCAGAGGTGGAGGGATGCGGCCACAGGCCAAGGGCTGCCTGGAGCCACCAGGGGCTGGAAGAGCCAGGAAGGACCCTCCCGGAGTCTCTGGAGGGGTGTGCCCTGCCAGAGTTCAGATTTCTGGCCTCCAGGCTGCAAGAGAATGTATCTGTATTGTCCTAAGCCCCAGTTTGTGCCTTGTTACGAAGACCGGGTCCCTCCCTGCCACCATGCACTTCCCAGTCGCCTCGCTCAGGTTTCACGAGGTTTGTTATTGAGGGCCCTCCTGCAGCCAAGCAGAAGACCTGGCCGAGCCTGGACTAAGTGAGGGTGTCCACCTTGCCCATTTCCAGGGTATACCCTCTGACCCTCCAAAGCTAAAAGTGCTAATCTCCCTTCTCCTCTGCCAGTTTTCTCTAGGAAACAAACATTCTCCATCTTTTCTGTCAATTTTCCCCTTGACATTTCGAGTTCTGCTGGCAGGTCTTTAATTTCCTGCTCTCACTGCAGCTTCATGGGCACAGTATCTCCCATCTACCTAGGAATATTATTATAGTTTTTACAGTTGCCATTGGTGGCCTGCATTCTGTTTTCCTTTGGGGAAGTTGGTCTGATTCTCACCAGAGGCTCGCCTCAAATGCACAGGGACCCAAGGCTGTCTCTGTGTACTTTCCAGGGAGGCACTGAAAGGCCGCCTGGCGTGGGTGGAACGGGCACCCACAGTGCCATAGTGTGCCCTGGTGCCCTGGCTTTGGGAAGATACTTCGGCACCACCTGTGTGGAACAGGTGCCGCCCACACTCCAGCACCCAGGGGGCCGTCTCCAGCACACACCCCAAAACTGCCCTTATGATCCGCAGACATGACAGAATCTTCACAGTGGCGCTGGACCTCTGAGCAAAGCCCGCCAGCGACGGGACAGCACACCACAGTGATGCAGTCATGCGGCGGCAAAGTGGTCGTTGGGGTGGTGAGTCGGCCACAGCCCCTCATGACGCGAGTGACTGACACTCTGCGCGAGCCCCTTTACATGGCGGACGAGCTGCCGTGTCATCTCATTTAGAGGGACACCCCTGCTATGTAAGCCCATTAAGAAGTGCAGGAACGAGATGCACCCGAGGACTGAGACTGGCGGCCAGCTCCAGATCAGAGAGGCTGGGCTGGAAGGGGCCCCACAGCCCCCTGGGTTCCCATCCTGTGGTCAGAGTGGGTGCATGGGGTGCCTTTTATTGGCACACTCTCATGGGCTGAATGTGCCTCCTCGACCGCTCAGCGTCTCACGGGGATGTGGAGCAGCACTGGCGGCAGGCATGGGGCCGAGCTGCCAGCCCATGAGCCTCGCCATCCTGCCGCGTCCTGATGATGACCTGCAGCTCTCCCTCACGAGCTGCAGCGTTTCCAGAGAGGAAGCCCCTGACTTCCAGCCTGGGGGACTGGGCCTGGCTGTAAGGAAGGAGGGGTGGGGACTTCATTGTCCGGGTGTCATCTTACACTCCGTACCCCCAGTCTTAGCAGACAGCTGTACCCAAAAGGTACGAAAGCTGGGACTCAAATACTTGTACACTAATGTTCACAGCAGCATTATTTGTGATATAGCCAAAGGTGGAGACAATGCACATGACCATCAGCAGATGGATGGATAGATCGCAGGTGGTCCATCCAGACAGGCGAATATTATTCAGCCTTAAAAAGGAAGGAAGTTCTGACACACACTCCAACGTGGATGAAATCTGAACATAGCAGGCTAAGAGAAACAAGCCAGTCACAAAAGGTCACACAGTATGTGACCCTATTTACTTGAAATGTCCAGAACAGACAAAGCCACAGGACAGAAAGCAGATCAGTGGTTGCCGGAGGCGGGACGTGGGGGATTGGGCGTGACTGCCCACAGGGACAGGGCTCCGCTGGGGGGATGGAAATGCTCTAGAATTAGCAGTGAGGGTGGCACAACTCTGTGAAGACACTAAAGACAGCTGAATTGGACACTTAAACGATAAAATAATGTCTCTTGTGCTCATCCAGCAAACTCCTATCGGGCAAATAGCTCATGAACTCGATGTCCTTCATTGTGGGTTGGCTCAATAAATTAGGTCACATGCATACAATTTCTACTTTGTGGAAGGATGGTTAATGATGCTGGAAATGTTAAAATACTAAATGAAAAGGATAGCATTTTTAAAAATGGGAGTTATCACATGTACATGAGAGAGACTAGGGGGCCTATAGTGAAGGCAAAGCATTGATATCACATTTATTTGAATAGTGGGACTATGGATAAATTATATTACAGAGTCTTCTATGATCAAGTATTCCTTCTGTGATTTGGAGAGAGGAAGTGCCTGCTGGCAGCAGGTGGCACCACAACCCCGTTCCTCAGTGGAGGCAGGAAGCCATGGGAGCTGAAGTCGCCTCCAGGGTTCAGCCCAGCAGCCCCAGCTGCTCTACTGCCTGGAGGCTAGGACATCTTCCAGAAGGCGTGCAGCTGCAAGCACCAGCTATCGGCCAAGAAACCCAGGGAAGGGCACTGTCACTGGGAAGTCAAGGGCTGCAGAGCCCGAGTTTACACTGTGGCATAAAAGAGCAGGAACTCCAGTGGGTCAAGACTGGATTAGATCACTTCACTTTTCCCAGAAGAGTCCTCCCCTGACCAGAGGTGGGGGGATGAAAGGGACGGCCACGGGCTCCACAAGGACACCAGTCCCAGGCAGAAGACCCAGTGGGTGCCTCTGGGCTGGGAAGGGCTGAGGGGAACAAAGAATGTGACACCGGAGAACCTGGGGTCTCACCTGGGACCTGGGACGGGACTGAGCTCGGTTCTGTCTGGTTCAGCCCCGCCGAAGGGCCACGGGCATGAGCTGTACACCAGGGGGGCTGCCTTTTGGAAGGATCCTCCATAGGCATTGCTAGGCAAATGGGGTTGGGGATCGGGGGGAGGGTCCCAGGATGAGCAGAGTCTAGCCAGGGCCACATGCAGGACCAAGTCAGAGAGGCGGGGCAGCAGGGGCCTGGCGGGCCCACGTCTATGGTGAGGGCGGGGACCACAGGGCGAGGAGTGGCCTGGGCTCAGGGCAGAGGACGGGAGCCAGAGCCAAGCCGTGAGGGGCCGAGGCTGGAGGCTGGGGCACACCCCTGACAAGGGCTTCTCCCGCCTTACCCAGAAGTCTGGACTCATCGCCAGGCACTCCCAACCTGGTCAGCCAACATTAAATCTGCAGGTTCACCCAGATGTCAAAAGCCAGCCACCTGATGTGACAGCAGCCCATCTGGAGTCTGCTTCCCACCCCTTACAGAGGCAGCACGAATTCCCTGTGACAATTCTCCAGCGGTTTGAGCTACTTGGAACCATCATTTCCTAGGAGTAAAATACAATGTAATTTAGCTAAGCGGTTACATCAGTACCAAGGGCTCTGGCCAGCCTGTATCTTCAGCCACAGTCAAAGTCAGGGCGTGGCATTGCCAGAAACGTTCCAAAATGCACTTTGCAAATAGCACACGTGGAGGAGAAGGATCTGGTTCCACTGCCAGAGTAGAAAAAATAACTTTTTGACAGAAAAAAGGAGACTTTGTTACCTTGAACTTTTAGGCCTCTGCAAAATAAGAGAGAGCACAATTTGGAGAAACTAATAGCATTTCAAGGTGTTTCTCGTCATTGCATCAGGTAGATTATCCTGTGAGCCTTTGGAATCCTTTGTAAAGTCCTAATTAAGAGGAAAACGAGGAGTAGCAGGAGGAACTGACGGGCTTCAGAAACAAGGTTTGATGTGCTTGAATGTGGGGAAATCGAAAGCTTGGACATTTGCACAATCATGTACCAATTCTAATGAACCACCTTGGTACCTGAGGCAGGTGACAGGCTAGCTGATTCTTGCAAAATCCATCTATCCATCCATCCACCCACCCAACCGTCTACCCATCTGTCCACCCTCCCATCCTTCCTTCTCTCCTATCCATCCAAAAATCCATTCTTCCTTCCACCCACCCATCCATTCATCCACCTCTACATCCATCCGTTCATCATCCTTCCTTCCTCCCTCCATCCCTATTCCATCCATCCATTTATTCTAGCACAGTGAGGATTAAGCATGGAGGCATGCGCATGCTGACACGGATTGAATTGTCTCCCCAAATTTATATGGTGAAGCCCTTAGCACCCAGTACTTCAAAATGTGACCTTATTTGGAAACAGGGTCATTGCATATGTAACTGGTTAAGATGAGGTCGTCTTAATCCTATCCAACTGGTGTCCTATGAAAAGGGGAAATTTGGACACAGATATGCACACAGGCCATATGAGGATGGAGGCAGAGATCAGGTGATGTATCTACACACCAAGGATGCCGCAAAGTCCCTAAAGCCAGGGAAGAGGCTGGGACAGATTCTCCCTCACAGCCTAAGGAGGAATCTGCCCTGCCGGCACTGGACCCCGGATTTCTGGCCTCCAGAGCTGGGAGACAGTCTTTGCGCACCCGGCTCCCTCACGCTCTGGTGCTTTGTTACAGCAGCTCTAGGAAATGACACACAAGGCTGCCAGGCCCAGGCTGCCCGGGCAAGGGTCAGCACAAGTATCTTTGAGCAGCAAATATGCTTTCCTCCAAACAGGCCAGAATCTTCCTGCTTTCTTTCCCTGCAGTCATTTGAAAGTCTTTTTTTCTTGTGCTTTTATGCAGGAATCTGCATTCTGAAGGAAGAAGGCTCCAAGTCCAGTACAATGCCCCTTGGGGTGGCAGGTTGGTTGTGGGAGCGGGCATAACCAGGCTGTCAAGGAGAGCGTGGCCCAGCAGCCACCCACATGGTGCGGAACGGCTCAAGTCCACGGAGCCAGTGAGAACAAGGAGAAGGGGCCAGGGAATAATAGAGCAATAACCCACCCCCACTGGGGCTCCATTTCGGTCTCTTCCTGCTCAAGGAACAGCTAACAGAAACACCAGTATCTCCTGAAAACGCAGCCCGACACCTAGACTTCAGCCTGGAGACCCTAAGCAGAGAACCCAGCCATGCCATGCTGGACGTCTGACTTGTGGAAGCTGTGAGACAGTAAATAAGCGCTGTTTGAAGTCACTAAGTGTGGGGTAAATTGTTATGCAGCAATAGCTGACTCAGGCGACTGGGAGGATATTGTAACCGAGTGACCAGGCAGAGGCCAGGATCCCGAGTCTCAGGTGAAAGCAAAACAAAGCTGCCTTGGAGCAGAGCAGACTGACATGGCGGTGATGCCACACTGAAGGTCCCCCCTCGGGAGGCTCATGGTGTCCTGGCATACAGGCCCTTTCCCGAGGGCTCATGGGCATCTGTGTAGGATGCCACACAGCCCAGTCCTGCAGAGCAGCAGAAGGAAGTGTGGCCACCACTTGGCACCTGTGGCTGATGCTTTGTCAGTGTGAGGCCCCAGGAAGAGCCTGTCCAGGTGGATGGGGCAGTGGGGTGCCCAGCCTTCCAGTCCCAGCTCTACTGCTGACCAGCTTTGAGAACTTGTGCAAACTGCTCTCCATCCTGGGACCTCTACAGTTTCTTCTATAAAATGGGAATGATGATATCCACCTTGGGAGGACTGGAGAGAATGTATTAGAGCAGGACTCTGAAAAAGTTCCGGGCCTCTGATAAAGTTCTGTGGGCAGCAGTACTGTTGCACTGGCCCTACAGGCTGCAGAGTCAGAGGAACAGCAGTGAGGTGACCGCCAAAATAATAAAACAGTGTTTGAACAAGGCGCTGTGGCGCACACAGACCGGTGCTGTGAGGCCCGAGACGGCCTGCCCTCTGCCCCACCCCACTGTTCACCCTGCCTGCTCCCCTTCCGCGAGGTTCAGGGGCCCTCCAAGAGTGTCCAGGGAGTCACTGAAGGAAGCGAAGACATTTTGGTTCCAGGTACTAAAAGTAAACAAGACGCTGACCATCAGCTGTTTCCCATTTTCTCTAATTAGGCAGCATTTCTGCTGACGCTGGGAGATGAGCCCAGTTAGGAACAAGCATCCTTTGTCTTCAACACTCTGCCCTGCCCACTTCTGTGCAGCCTGCAGACCTCTGCCCCACCCAGCCCGCCAGGTCTGCCGCTGGGGGAAGGCAGGAACCACTTCCGAGTCATCAGAATCTGGACGCCTGTGCTGTACCAACAGTCACTTCCTTGAGGGCTTCCTAGGGGAGGCAGCACAGCCTGATGAGATGTGGTCCCACCTGTCATGAGTCCATAAAGACCCTGGCTTTTGACACATGGGGCCCACAGTGCCTAGGACACCCCAGCCCTGAGCAGTCCGCCCAGGGCCCGCTGCCTGCAGACTTCTGATCCAGTTCTGCTGCCATGGCCTCAGGAGCCAGGCCCTGGCTGCTCCCTGCGCCCCATCCTCATGCAGCTGCTCGTCAACTCCACACACATTCTCCCATGCCCTCCCTGTCCCTGGGTGGGCACTTGGGGCAGGTCTAGCCTCAGGGCCCACTTCTTCCCGAGAACACCCATCACAGTATCTGAGAAGTGCTTGCCTGCCTCCTGCTCCAGCTGCGGTCCCTGGGCAAGGGGCCTCCACTTTCTGGCCCCTGCCAGAGTCACCAGAAGGGTCTGGCTCAGATGAAGTCAGGTGAGCACCTAGGGGATGGGCACACGAGGCCCTGATGGGGACCAGCAGTGCCCACCCTCGGCTCCCAGGCTGCTGGTGGGGAGAACTGAGGGGACCCTTACATGCCTGCTGCTCTAGGGGGAGGCCCTGCCGTGGGGAGGGGGTCCCAGGGCTGGGTGCCCAGGGAAGTCATTGTAGGCCAAAGGCCTGTGGGCATCACCACCCCTGCTCTCCGGGCAGGAAACTGCAACCTCCCAAAGCCTCAGGTTACTTGTCTGTAAAGTGGAGAAACGTCACCACCCACACAGGATCCCCGGGGGAGGAACGCACCTAGGCACACACAGCAGAGGCAGGGTGTGCAGCTCTGTATATGTGGCCCTGAGCACAGCCTCCCCAAAGCCTAGGGAGGCTGACTGCTGATGGGTGTCGGGGGAGTGGCTGAGAGGCTGAGGCCACCAGGCCAGTCCTCAGGGCCACAGGCTCCCGCCAATGCCGCTGTCAGAGGTCAGCCCTCCGGAGGGCTGTGCTCACAGGAGGAAGGTCACCAGGGCCAGTCCCACTGGAGTCCAAAGAGAGCCTCACAGCTCCCAGGTCCATCCTCCTGGAGTAACCCCAAACCTGCCAGTCCTCCAGGAATTGGGTGCATGTCCTCCAGGGCCTGAAGCAATGGCGCCAGGTGATCAGTGGACTATTGGCCCAACAGGCAGCCTCCCATGCTGCCGTGGTGACCACAGCCTCTACGGAGGGTCCTGGGTGTCCACCAGGCCCTGGAACGCCTGCCCTTGATCCTCTATGAGGCCACAGGGAGGTGTCCCCAAAGCTGGACACCAGGGCAGGTGCAGCAGAGCCAGTGTACTCCAAGTCACTGCTGGTGCCCACAGCGACCCACAGGCCTTGGTGTCCCTGAGGCCCGGCTGCCCTGGCCCTGCATGCTGCCCCGGCCGCTCTGCCTCCCGAGGGGCAGGCACAGACCCCTCCACCCTCCTCTCAGCCACGGAGCCACAGGGAGTAGTGGGACCGTGGTCTGCCTCCACTGGGGACACGGGCACACAGTCTGGCTCTGGAGAAGTCCCATAGATGGTGATGGGAACCTTTACATTATTACTTCTTTTTTTTAAATTAAAGTATCATTGAAAAACAATCTTATAAAGGTTTCACATGAGCAACATTGTGGTTATTACACTCACCCATATTACCAAGTCCACTCCCCACCCATTGCAGTCACTGCCCATCAGTGTAGTAAGATGCTACAGAGTCACTAGTTGTCTTCTCTGTGCTGTACTGCCTTCCCCATGAACCCACCACCACGTGTGCCAATCGTAATGCCCCTTATTCCCCTTCTCCCTTCATCCCAACCTGCCCTCCCCAGTCTGTCCCCTTTGGTAACTACCAGTCCCTTCTCAGAGTCTGTGATTCTGCTGCTGTTCTGTTCCTTCACTTTTGCTTTGTTGTTATACTCCACAAATGAGGGAAATCATTTGGTACTTGTCTTTCTCCGCCTGGCTTATTTCACTGAGCATAATACCCTCCAGCTCCATCCATGTTGTTGCAAATGGTAGGATTTGTTTTCTTCTTATGGCTGAATAGTATTCCGTTGTGTTTATGTACCACCTCTTCTTTAGCCATGCACCTACTGATGGACACTTAGGTTGCCTCATATCTTGGCTATTGTAAATAGTGCTGCGATAAACAGGGGTGCATCTGTCTTTTCGAGTCTGGGATCTTGTTTTCTTATATTATTACTTCTTAAATACAGAGGCAACATGTGTGCACGTTGGGAATTAGGAAACGCAAATAAGCCAGCAGCACACACACACATGCACTTTATAAATTACGTGGCCATGATGCGAGCAGAAGGAACTTGCATTGCCGTCCTGGCGCCAAACCTTGCACACTTTTCCTGAGCTTCTCTGAACAGAAGGCCCAAGACTCATGGGTTAGAGCAGCAGGTGAACTAGACTAAGGATGTGTCCTGGACCCCCTTCTGCACCACGTTCAGCAATTTAAATGCGTTTTCTCTTGCCTTTGCCTCAAGATGGGGGGAACGCCTTACTTCAGGGAAGTGGCTGCTCAGATGGGAATTCTCCTGGTACTGTGGGGTAGAGGACAATGACCCCTTCAGGGTGCTGCCAGAGCCTCTTGGCAGCAGCAAGGCCACACCCTGCAGGCAACCTGCTCCTCTTTCCCTGCTGGTGTCCCAAGGAAGCAAGCGCACTCCACTCCCACCCAAAGGCCCTGGCTTCCATTCTGTGGAGCCCCCTGATGCCTGAAAGAGCAGGGAGTTGGGCAGGATGAGCACAGACAAGCCCAGGGGGCTGTGGTGGAGGTTGGGACAGGGGCAGCACTGCAGGCCTGGACTCTGCCAGCCGCCTTCTCTTGGAGCTGTCCTAGCAGGGCTGTGGACACGGACCCTGCCTCAGTGGGGCCAGCAGCACCATGCCTGGGAAGCTGGGATGGATGGCTGCCAGTATGCCTGGCATTTGTGGCTGCACTGGGCTGAGGGGCAATGGCCCAGAGGGCAGGAGTTCAGGGGAGAGAATCAAGGGAGAGACCAGATGGGTGTAAGCCCCACTGGCTCCTCTCTCGGGTTCCAGAGACATCCTGCCGAGGTCAGCTGCCTTCCAGATCTTGTTTGCACTTGAGCTAGGGAGAGTGCATTTCCCCGAACCAAGGGCCCTAAGTGGTCCTTGAGCCTAAGGGATGCGGTGTGGGGGCTGGGAGGCCACAGCATCACAGAGCACAAGACATGAGGGCAGACCCTGGGGATGGGCGGAGGCACCCTACAGGTGGCCTGAAAACTTGGGTCAGACAGATGGGAGGGCTCTGAGCCTCTGTCTGGAATCTGTGAAGCAGGCAGGACAGTGAGAACACAGCCACGGGACTCAATGAGGCCAAACAGGAAAGTTCTCCATGGGCTTCATCTAAGGCAGCAAACGAGGCTGTATTAAGGTGACTTGATGTAGCAGGGACAGGGAGGGATGTCACGTCCAAGAGGGAGGGAATGGTGACCCAAAAAAGGACCAGAGGCAAGAGAGTGCAGAGAGCATCGAGGAAGCAGGTGCTGGCAAGGATGAGGGAAGCCAGTTATCTGGGAGTGGCTCAGTCAAGTTGCCTGGGGCCCAACAGAGGGAGAGAGCAGGGAGCCCTGGAGAGTTCTATGCAGAAGACCATCACCCGGCTGTTTGGTATCCACCTATCTGAGGGGAAGGCAGAAGGATGGACAGGGACTAAGGACCAGGGAAACAAACCCTTATACTCACTGAATAATAAATGATAATTTAACAAACCTACATCTGGTAAAGAAATTGAAATTGTAGTTCAAACCTTCCCACAAAGGAAACTACGGACCCAGACAGCTTTACTAGTGAATTCTACCTAATATGTAAAGCAAAAATAACACCAATTCTACACAAACTCTTCTGGAAAACGGAAGAAGTGGGAACTCATTCTAGAATCTCAGCATTACTCTGGTAACCAAACCTGAAAAGCACATTAGAAGGAAAGAAAGCTATTGCCCAACATTCCTTACATCAGATGCAAAATTCTTAACAAAATTTTAGCAAATTGAAGCCAACAGTATGTAAAAAGGACAATACTAATAATCAAATAAGGTTCATTCAGGAATGCAAGGTTGGCTTAACATCTGAATATCAATCAATGTAATTTATCACATCAACAACAAAAACAACCTATACAATTATCCCAAAAGATGCAGAAAAAGTATTTTTAAAAATGCAACATCTATTCTTAGTACTATTAGCAAACTAAGAATTGAAGAGAACTTCCTGAACCTGATAAAGGGCATCTATGAAAATGCTATAGCCAACATCATACTTAATGGTAGACAGTAAATGCTTTCCCTCTGAGATCAGGAATAAGGCAAAAATCTCCTGTGCCAACTCTTGTATTCAGCACGGTACTGGAGGTCCTCTCCAGTGCGCAAATGAAAAAAATGGAAATAAAGGACATCCAATTGGAAAGGAGACATAAAACTGGCTTTATTCACAGATGGCATCATCATCTACATAGGAAGCTGATGAAATCTTCATAAAAACTACTGTAACTCATACTGGGTTTACCAAAGCTGCAGGAGACAAGATCAGTAGACAAAAATCATTTACAACTCTCTGTATTAGCAAAGAACAGCTGGAAATTGAAATTACAGAAGACCACTTACAATAGCATCAAAAATATAATATGTTTAAGGATAAACCTGACAAAAGATGTGCAAGACCTCTACCGATAGAGCCCAGACAGGAGTATCACTGTTATGAATAAACCTATCCACCATCTCAGCATTTCATCCTAGGTTTCATTTAACTGAGGCTACAAGCATTTTCTGGAGGACACGTCAGCAGGCCACAAGCCCGTCTTTTCCCTAACTCCTCCCCTCAAAAGCCCACCAAAACACCTGGCCATAAACAGCCTCTTAGCAAAGTAATCCTGAGAAGGAAGAATAAAGCTGGGGGGATTACGCTCCCCAACTTCAAGCTCTACTACAAAGCCACAGTAATCAGGACAATTTGGTACTGGCACAAGAACAGACCCATAGACCAATGGAACAGAATAGAGAGCCCAGATATAAACCCAACCATATATGGTCAATTAATAGATGATAAAGGAGCCATGGATATATGATGGGGAAAAAACAGCCTCTTCAACAACTCATATTGGCAAAACTGGACAGCTACATGTAAGAGAATGAAACTGGATTATGGCCTAACCCCATACATAAAAGTAAACTTGAAATGGATCAAAGATCTTAATGTAAGTTATGAAACCATAAAACTCTTAGAAGAAAACATAGGCAAAAATCTATTGAATATAAACATGAGCAGCTTTTTTGTAAACGCATCTGCTTGGGCAAGAGAAACAGAAGCAAAAATGAACAAATGGGACTACATCCAACTAAAAAGCTTCTGTACAGCAAAGGACACCATCAGCAGAACAAAAAGGCATCCTACAGTATGGGAGAATATATCCGTAAATGACATATCCAACAAGGGGTTAATATCCAAAATATATAAAGAACTCACATGCCTCAACAACCAAAAATCAAATAATACAATTAAAAAATTGGCATAGAATATGAACAGGCACTTCTCCAAAGAAGAAATTCTGATGGCCAACAGGCACATGAAAAGATGCTCCACATCGCTAGTCATCAGGGAAATGCAAATTAAAACCACAATGAGGTATCACCTCACACCAGTTAGAATGGCCACCATCCAAAAGACAAACAACAACAAATGTTGGCAAGGTTGTGGAGAAAGGGGAACCCTCCTACACTGCTGGTGGGAATATAAATTAGTTCAACCATTGTGGAAAGCAGTATGGAGGTTCCTCAAAATGCTCAAAATAGAAATACCATTTGACCCAGGAATTCCACTCCTAGGAATTTACCCAAAGAAAACAAGATCCCAGATTCAAAAAGACATATGCACCCCTATGTTTATCGCAGCACTATTTACAATAGCCAAGATATGGAAGCAACCTCAGTGTCCATCAGTAGATGAATGGATAAAGAAGAGGTGGTACATATACACAATGGAATATTATTCAGCCATAAGAAGAAAACAAATCCTACCATTTGCAACAGCATGGATGGAGCTGGAGGGTATTATGCTCAGTGAAATAAGCCAGGCAGAGAAAGACAAGTACCAAATGATTTCCCTCATCTGTGGGGCATAACAATGAAGCAAAACTGAATGAACAAAATAGGAGCAGACTCACAGACTCCAAGAAGGGACTAGTGGTTACTGAAGGGGAGGGGTGGGAGAGGGCAGATGCGGAGGGAGGGAGAAGGGGGAAAAAAAAGACCCTTGACCTGTAAGAGATGCCTTCTTTGTTCTGCTCACTGAAACAGAGGGGGTCCCTCTCGGGTGTAGCAATAAACCTGCTTGGACTGTTGAGTTCACGTCCCTTCTTTTCCTTTATCTAGTGCCAAAACCTGGAAGCGAGAGCAGAGGGCAGGAGCTGTTTTGCAATTTAGGAAGCAGTGGGCAGTGGCAGCTCAACCTGGGCGAAGGCCTTGATCCCGAGAGCCTCCTGTGTCCCGCCCTGTTTCCCTTCCCTCCCTCACCCAACATCCCCTCGCGAACTCCAGCCCAGGGACCACTTGCCAATCTGCAATCTACACACTAACCCATCGCCGTTC